AATAATGGTTACTCTGTTGATTTGTTGCCTAGGTGATCTGTCCAATGCTGTGAGGTATGTTCAGGTCCCCCAATATTATCATAGAGCAGATGCTTCTTCTGTCATTTTGGAATGTGCTTTATGGAGAGAGACATCCTCTTCTTTTATTTGGTCTCTGCTGGTGACTCTCCTTGTGTCAATGCACTATAGTGGCTGATGGACCATGCGTGGTGGTTATGATATCTAGCCACATTCGTGGCAGCCATGGTTACTGTGGTGGCTGTGGTGGGCCACCTACATGGAGGGGATATTTTTGGCATGCTCCTTGGTGCTGGTGGTGTGCCTGGTTGTGGAACGGGTCTGGTCCCTGGCTCGATGCTCTGGGTCCCCAGGCAGGTCCCTGGGGTGCTGGCGATGTGCCTGGTTGTGGGCGGAGGGTCCAGTCCCTGGCTCCAGGGGCCCTGGGGCACTGGCAGTGTGCCTGGTTGTGGGCAGAAGGTCCCGTCCCCGGCTCCAGCCTCAGGTCCCCTGGTGGGCCTTGATGTGCTGGTGGTGTGCCTGGGCCAGAACTAATTTTTTGTCCTTTGCTTACTTCTAAAAGGGGGGAACTTCCTGTGGGAACCAGTACTTGAGCTGTATGGTTGAGCTAAATTGCTGCTTTGCTGCTGTTTCCCTAGGGAAGGCTTTTTGTGCAGCTCAGGGTTTAATGATTGACCTTATAGGTACTTCCAGCTCTCCAGAGACCTGGTACACCTGGGTTGAATGGAAACTCTTATCTGTGCCTGAGTCTTTTCATCAAACTGCACCCCATGCAATTCTGTATTCCTGACCAGTCTCCTCTGAGTGGTCCTGTGCTAATTGGGGGGCGGATCGGCTGACCTTGTAGTGTCCCAGTGTTCCCCCGGTGGGCCTGTCTCCACCACTGCCTGTGCTCCAAACACTTCCCATGGGATGGGCCCTGCACTGGTCCCTTTCAGTGACTCACTGGCCTCTGAGTGGCTCCTTTTTTCAGTTGTTCTGGCTCCTCACTCCTGTGTGGGTCCACAAGAACCCTATTAGTGGTCTTGCTGTCCTGGGGACCACAAAGACCCTCTGTTCCCTTGCCATCTCCAAGCAACTCCATCTGAAGGGCACAGCTGTGGCTTCTGCCATCTCCTGCTCTATGCGCTCAGCAGCTCCAGCCTTAAAGCGGCCGTGGCATGAAGAACCCTGTTAGTGGTCTTGCTGTCCTGGGGACCACAAAGACCCTCTGTTCCCTTGCCATCTCCAAGCAACTCCATCTGAAGGGCACAGCTGTGGCTTCTGCCATCTCCTGCTCTATGCGCTCAGCAGCTCCAGCCTTAAAGCGGCCGTGGCATGAAGTGCTCTGAGCAGTTTTTCTTCCTCTCCTCATGGCTTCTCTCATCTTCATAAACTCCATAGGTCTCTCCTCCTCTTCCCCTGAGCTCTAGTGACCCCAGTTTGGCTGTTGTTACATTTTTATAGTTGTAAATTAGTTGATTTGTGGGAGAGAGGGACACTGGGGACCATCATTGTGCCATCTTGACTGGAAGTGACTTCAGAAAAGTTAGCTTTAATTTCAGGTTCATTTTGCCTTTTCTGACTTTTCTAAACTCTCTGCTGTTTACTATCTTCTGGTTGATCTAATAAGTGATTAGTAATTCCCATATGTCACCAAGAGGAACCATGAATTTTTATAAAACTAGCATAAAGTAATAAAATCCATGTATTATCAAAACAGTGGGTGAGCACAGACATAAAGTAAATGAATGGTGACTTAGTTGGTACTTGAGGAACTTGCAGTGTCTCAGGGTCATCAAGAACATCAGTTGGTTTACCCTAGATCTGTGGCAGCCTAGTTTGAAAAAGTACACACTTTTGGATAAAACTGACAACTAGGCGATTTATTAAACTTTCAAAAATAAACAGTAGTAGTTATTTAAATCGGTAGAAAATATTATTTCAGCCCTCAAGATGCTTAGGAATGTGTTTGGGAGATAGGAGAATGGAATAACTACAGAATAAGGCTGTTTCCACCATCCAAATATAAATCATTGATATGATACAGGGTAAGGTAGATACACTTAACCCTGAGGCAGTTTCATTGTCCAGATTTTACAGATGAGGGAAATAAGTGTATCCTAACTTTGACAAGTTGTAGAATTTTCTAAAAGAAACATAAGCTATAATTGTTGACCACCCTGCCACAATAACTAAATAAGATGCTTTTATTTTTCTATTAAACCATTTGTTTTTTTAAGGGAAAATAATGGAATGGTTCCTTTCTAAGTTTTAAAGATATGTGCTTCTTAAAAAGCATTTGAAATGTCCTAATTAGATCCCTGGCTATTTATGATTCCAATTCCTAAAATCTCTAATTAAGGATTTAGTCAACAATCAAATGTTAAGTTTGTCAAAATGTATTGCAGATTAAATAAAGGACATTTTCCTTCACTTAACCAATTTAGCTTTGGATGTTGTATTAGTCAGGGTTCTCCAGAGAGACACAACCAATAGGATGAGAGGGGATTTATTAGTGGAATTAGCTCACGCAATTGTGAAGAGAAATCCCACAATAGGCCACCTGCAAACTGAACACAGGTAGTGTGGCTCAGTCCAAGTCCAAAGGACTTAGAACCAGGGAAGCCTGTAGCATTCTTGGTATAAGTCCAGGAACCCAAAAGCTGTAGAGTCTCGAGCTCTGATGTCCACAGACAGGAGAGAAGAGTGTATCCCAACTCCAGTGGATAGAGAGAGAGATTTGCCTTTTTCTCCATTTTTTACTCTCTTTGAGGCCCCTGCAGGTTGGATGGTTCCCACCTATATTAAGGGCAGATCTCTCCTAACCAGTCCACTCAGGCTCTCATGCTAATCCCTTCTAAAAACACCCTCATGGACACATTTAAAAAGATAGCTTTACCAGGTTTCTCCATATTTGTTAATCTAATCAATTTGGCGCCTAGAATTAATCTTCACAGATTTTTTTTTAATTTCTGATAAAATTTACATGATTCATTTCCTCAGTTCACCATAACCTTAGCTAAGTAATTTAGCTAGTCAGAGTCTCAGTTTCCTGAAATCAGACATTTCATCCAGAAAATCTTTCAGGTTTTGTTGCATTCTAACCATTCTAACCTTCTGCCTGAATTTTGTACACTACAGTACTGAATGTGGTGCCCGTTGACCACTAGAGGGCACTTTGTAGCCTGCCTTCTTTCAGAGTGATATCTGCAAGTAAAGGGTAGCACTGGATTTCTTTTTTTTATTGCTTATACTGTAATTCATTGTTTCACTTTGTATATTTTTCATCATTTTCACTTTTAATTTTTTTATTTTACCACAGAATTATTATGAAAATCATAATTTATTTTTATTAGTTAAACCTAAATTCACTTCTCTAATCTTTTTTTATAACAGCATCAAAACTAATGGTTATCATTTATTTATATGATGGTCCTGCTCATTGATTTAATTGTCTTAACATATTAACATTTATTTCAGGATAGGCATATATTTTATTGCTGATAGTATAAATAAACAGATCATTGAAACAAATTAAAGATACAGTCTGAGTTCAACATATAGAAATAACAGGCATTTTCTTCTCTATTAATGATTTTTTTAAATTTTAACATTCATTTGTACATATTTATGGGGTATAGTGTGTTGTTTCAATACATGCATATACTGCACAATGATTCACTTGTGGTAGATAGTATAGTTTTCTACCCATCAATCCACCGTTTCTCCTCTCCCATACCCCCTCATCTCCCATTCTCTGGTAACCATTATTCTACTGACTGCTTCTTGTAGTATTTTTTTTTTTTTTTTTAATTCCACATAAAAGTGAGATCATATGGTATTTGTCGTTCTGTGCCTGACTCCTCCCATTCTCTGGTAACCATTATTCTACTGACTGCTTCTTGTAGTATTTTTATTTTTTTTTTTAATTCCACATAAAAGTGAGATCATATGGTATTTGTCGTTCTGTGCCTGACTTACTTCACTTAACATGATGGTTTCCAGTTCCATCCATATTGCTGCAAATGATAGGATATCGTTTCTTTTTATACCTGAACAGTATTCCGTTCTGTATATATACCACAATTTTTTAATCCATTCATCTCTTGGCTACTGTGAATAGCATTGGGATGAACATGGGAGTGCAGGTGTCTTTTTTGATATATTGATATCATTTCCTTTGGGTATATACCCAGTAGCAGGATAGCTGGATCATAAGATAGATCTATTTTTAGTTCTCCTAGGAACTTCCATACTGTTTTCCACAATGGCTATACCAATTTACATTCCCACCAACAATGTATGGTTTCTGTTTTCTCCACATCCTTGCCAGCATTTGTTATTTTTTGTCTTATTGATATTAGCCATTCTAACTGGGATGAGATGATATCTCATTGTGGTTTTAATTTTCATTTCCTTGATGATTAGTGGTTTTGAGTAATTTTTTTGAGTAACATTTTTTCATGTGCTTGTTGGTCATTTATATGTCTTCTTTTGAGAAATGTCTGCTCAGGTCCTTTGCCAATTTTTTAATTGGGTTATTGGGGTTTTTTGCTATCGAGTTGTTTGAGTTCCTTATGTATTCTGGATATTAACCCCTTGTCTGATATGTAGTTTGCAAACACTTTCTCTCATTCTGTAGGTGGTCTCTTCAGTTTGTTGATAGTGTCCCTTGCTGTACAGAATTTTTCAGTTTGATGTAGTCCTATTTGTTTATTTTTGCTTTAGTTGCCTGTGCCTCTACAGTCTTGTTCAAAAAAGTGCTGCCCACTCTAATTTCGTGTAGCATTTCCCATTTTCTTCCAATAGTTTCATAGTTTGGGGTCTTAAATTTTGGTCTTTAATCCATTTTGAGTTGATATTTTTGTGTGGTGAGAAATAGGGGTCTAGTTTCAATCTTCTGCATGTGGCTATCTAGTTTTCCCAGTACCATTTATTGAAGAGGCTGTCCTTCCTCTATTGTATATTTTTAGCACCTTTGTCAAAACTTAATTGGCTGTAAGTGTGTGGGTTTATTTCTGGTCTCTCTATTCCATTCCATTGGTCTATTTGTCTGTTTTTATCCCAGTATCGTGTGCTGTTTTGGTTACTATAACTTTATACTGTATTTTGAAGTCAGGAGGTGTGATGCCTCCAACTTTGTTCTTTTTTGTTCAAGATTGCTTAACTATACAGAGTCTTTTGTGGTTTCTTACAGATTTTAAGATTGTTTTTCTGTTTCTGTGAAGAATATCATTGGTATTTTGATAGGGATTACACTGAATGTGTAAAAAGATTTGGGTAAAATGGACATTTTTATAATTCTTCCAACCCAAGAACATGGGATATCTTTCCATCTATTTGTGTCTTCTTTGATTATTGATGAAAATTTTCTATAGTTATTTCATTAGAAGCCTATTATTCTCTCTCCACTTGCCATATTGCAGGCTTTTACAATATGGCATAGGTGAGTATCTGAGGTAGGAGGTGAACCAACATTCTTCCCATTTTATTCTCATATCATGTCATTTCTGAGGACAAATCAATAATTCTTCAGCCTTTTAGGTCATTGTGTTCTATAACAGCCTAAATAAATAGACTTTGAGGATCATATTTAAAAGTACTGAATATCAAAGAAATATCAGAAAGAGAATATTGTTAATGTGAGGGGACCAAGGTTGTTTATTGTTCAGATATTATAAATATAGTAAAATAAAGCAATTAGAACTTTTTTCTTTGAGTCATTAAGCACTGAACAAAGCCACTATGGTAAAACCTTTCTGTTTTACTAATAGGAACAACATGCCAGAATTCCACAAATTAAAAACAAAGTTGATAAAGAAGAAAGGAACACGAGCATATGCCTGCCAGTGTAGCTGGAGAACTATTGAAGAACTAACTGACCTTCAGACAGATCATCACCTTCGTTGGGTTTGTGGTAAACATTAAGAATGTAGACTTTTCACATTTGAACAAATGCATCCATGAGAGGTCTTCATTAATCATCATAAATATTAGGTAAAGGTAGATAGCAATATCATGTCCTTTGGAAAAAGACAGTGGATTTTATTTAATTTAACTACACAAATTTTTGAAGACCAAATGGACTTGGGAAGATAAAGTGCTATAACACTTTGGAATTATTCCTTTTTGATATATGGGCATTTCACTTAGTAAGGTAACAAGTATACAAATTCTTTGCAAGCCTATCTCCTATCTCCATTTTGATTATGGAGTTTCATACAAATATGTAGCCTTTCATTAGCAACTGAAGTGTTGGCTGCTAATACACGTAGTGTAAACATTCCTCATATATAGCAGTTAAAGGAGTAAAGCTGGCCAGGGCAGAGAGGTCATTGTAGGGGTGTCTATATCACCTCCTCCAGTCATATCTGTTGTTGCCAAAGATCATAATTTTTATGTAGCAGAAACCAAGTGATCAGTGGTTTTCAGGAATACAGGTAGGTTGTAAAAACACTGCCTTACATCTGATCTTATCTTACCAACTCAAAGCAGTGTTATGAACAATAATGATAAGTATATGTTACCAGTTTTAGCTTATTTCTCCTCCTTTTGTTCATTTAGGTTGCAAAAGTTATTTAGTTTTCTGTTTTAACAAACATCCATTTATATATTAAAAAAAGGTTTGATATACCTAAAAATCACAAAAATTTTAATACAGACTGGTCATTGTTGGATTTTCCAGGTACTTTCTAGCCATTTTTAGGCATTACCTAAAACTTCATAAAGTGAAGTGAACAGCAAGTAAGATAATTTTTCAGGCAGCCTATGGATTTTTCTGTTAGGATTAGGCTGACATATTGTTTATTAGATGAGTACATGAAAAGAGAAATAAAGCATAACTAAACCATCAGGTATCAGGTAACCTACCGGGCTTCTTCTTGACATCACTGAAAGTTGAGGAACATTTAGGAAATAATTTACCTCAAAGTTTCCAGCTCCCAGCCCCATCAAGAGATTCTGGGTACTTGCTAATCTGCCACATGTGTCTACTATATAGTTCAAATGTGTGACGTAGGGCACTCTGAAAGGGAAAAATTGAAGCAAATTTATGATCTGCTTAGTCTTATGCCGAATGCATTTCAACCACCCTACTGAAGTGAGGAATCACTAAAATCCTCTTCCTAGATATGCCACACTTGCTTACTTGTAAAACTTACTTTAATAACGCTAGCTTGCAACCTAGCAGATCTCATAGTGGCCAACACTCACATTTTTATATTAAGGATATGTCTACGGATATTATCTTTCAATAAAAATTCTTTACTTTCTAAAGTTACATCTCTTTGTAATTGTGTCAGGAATATAGGAGGATATGGACTGAAGTCACCTATTCTAAAAAGCAACAGAACAACAAGATCCGCACATTCAGAACTTCGTGGAATTTGGCACATTAGTGCCAAATCATAATGGTGATTTCTTTTTTTTTTAATCCCAATGAGCAAATTTACTAACTCATTAACTTAAAAAAATTTTCAACTACTTTGCCTGTTCTTTGGAGGGACAAAATTACCTTGTTTCATTTTTTTTCTTTTATTATTATTTTGTTAAAACTATCCTGAAAGTGGCATACATTGCCCATATTTGGTATCCCATAATAACAATTACAATAATTCCTTAATGTCCGAAATGTATGCATGAGTTCCCCTTTTTTTGGCAATTTATATACTTTTTAATATTGTACTATTTTTAATCTAAAATGTGGAAAGAGTATTGTGTTTATATACAAATGGATAATTATTACCAGTTGTAATTTAAGCCAAAATGCAACCATTTTAGTATCAGTATAGAAGAAAAAGCATAGTTTCTGTAAATTAAAAGTGCAAAGTCTCTAAAACTTTCAAGATGTTTTGCCTATTTGTTTTCAATGTGTGTAATAATTTTCTACCTTTGCCAACTGTCTATTGTCAAGCCAGGTAACTACTTTATTTGAACTGTATATACTCTCATACCCTTATCCCGCCTAGACATGAGTAAATAATAAATAGCTTTACTCTGTATTTACTTTTTTTATAGCAAACATTTATATGGGCATTAATTTGAAATAATTTTGATAATTTCTTTAAAAATGTCAACAAAAAAGTTTCTATCCATGCAGGTAAACAGAGAATTTATTTATTCACATTGGGGGAAGAGAAGCATGCCATAAGTTTAAGAGTGTGAGAGAGAGTGTGTGTGTGTGTACATGCATGTGTAAAAGAGCATGGGTATTCAGAGGAATAGGTCCAAGTTCAGGAAGAACAGACCATGTTGATACGGTGACAAACTATATCCAGACCCTGTTTGTTGATGTCGGTAAACTTAAAACCCTTTTTTTCTTGGGCCAAAGAAAATGGCATCAGATTATGAATCTAAATCGCTTTCCCTCTTTTTACTGACTTAATATTTCAAAATACTGGCGGGGAAAGTCATTGCATTCAATAATACTATGATGACGCTTAGCAGTAAATTTCAAATGCTGATTTTTCTCAACTTTTATGTTCTTAACAAAATCTCTACAGCCAAGATACTGCTCCCAGTAGTCAGACATATCTATTGTTCAAATAGTTCCTGAAGCGAAGAAAAAATTCAAAATATACAGTTTCTTTAGAAGTTTTACATCTTATATTTCTTTGGGTTTGTGACACAATTTTATACCTTGTTTTAAAAGCTTATATAAGTGGATGGTAATTAAATTTGACATTCCCCAAATGCCTTGAGATATACATGACTAAATGAAGAGTTACAGAATTAGAATTGAGAGTTATGTCCCTTAGAAAGTTACTTTTTGGGCTTCAATTGCCTCATCTATATGAATGGTGATATCTCTCTTGTAAGCTTGTTGTAAAGATGAAATCGTATAACATATGAAAAGTGACTAGCATAGTGTTCAGTTTAGAATAAGTGCGTAATAAGTGTTCTCATTCTTTTTCCTTCTAAAATGAATATTGTCTAAAGTAATAGTGGAGCATGTTTCTTACAGCAGATCATTTGGCTACATGTTTGTTTTATTCATTCTGTATTTATTTTATAACTAGTGAACGTAAACATAGCCACCTTTATTTTATATAAGCTGAAGCTACAACTTTCCTAAAAAAAAAAATGCTCCCCCTAGCCTCCCTCTTCCTGTGTGGCTTAAACCGAAGTGGGTCATCATGAAGCCATTCCAGGTTTCTCACAGTATCTTTTCAGTTTCATCTTCCTCTCCTTTCCTCCTCCTCCAGCCAACCTGTCTACCACTGCTCCTGAGACACACCTCACATTTTACTGCCCTCCCTCATCTTATCAAATTCCCACTCATTTTTCAAAGCCAGCATCTTGTACACCAGTGGTTCTCTAAGTGAGGTCCGCTCTCAGGGGAGTCTGTAAGAGTCTTTAGGGGGTCCACAAGGTCAAATATTTTCATAACACTAAGACACTAATTTCCTTTTTCACCACGATGACGTTTGCACTGATGGTGCAAACAGTAGGTAACACTGCTGGCCCCTCACTAAGCACCATTCGAAGTGGTGGCGCCATGCACTTGTGGTAAAAAAAAAAGCCAGCTTCACTTAAGAATGTCCTTGATAAAGGCATTAAAAAATACTAATTGTATTAATTTCAGCCTTCAAAAACATCTTTTTTAATATCCCATGTGACTAAATAGGAAGTACACATAAAGCACTTGTGCAGTTGTCTGAGTTGTAAGCTGAACAAACCATTTTTTTCATGGAAGCCATTTTTGCTTGAAAGAACAACCGACAGTCACACTATGGGTATCCTGAAAATTAATAAAGTGAGTCACCTCCAGGAAAATAATTGACAGTATTCTAAGTGAAAATTAGAATTTTGGAAAACTTGTATACACCACCACGAGCATGACAGCTTCCCCAATACTTAAATTCTCTCCTGATGAGACTAGTGGTGATAATAACAAGCGATTTTTTTTTTTTGATACTATATATACAATGAAATATGACAGTATTCGGAAGCTCTGTGTAATTCATCAAACCAATATTGCCAAATAACTAATGCAAGCTATAACAAAAGCATGCATTTAAAGTGTGAGAGAGACCAGTGGATTTCAACATAAAGAATACTGAAAGTTTATTTGATATAATTTCAGTTTCCATGTTGCAACTAACTTTTAAGAAACTAGCACTTGTCAAGTTTTGATGTAGTAGTGAAGAATATCCACAATTCTCTAAAAAGACTATTAAAATACTCTTCTCTTTTCCCACTACATGTCTGTATAAGGCCTAATTTTCTTCTAGGGCCTCAACCAAAACAACCTGTCTCAAGAGAGTGAACACAGCAATAGGTAGGAGAATCCAACTGTCTTCTGTTAAGGCAGAGATTTAAAAAATTAACAGAAATGTAAAACAAATGCCACTCTTCTTCATACATCTGTTTTGGGAAATACAGTTATTGTCATAAAAACTTGATAATGTGTAATGGGTTTATTAAGTATATACTACTTACATGTTTTTAGTGTTCTTAGTTTTAATTTCTAATACAATAAATATCAATAGATATAACCACCAAAAAAGAAAAAAGTACTTTGAGATTCACAGTCATTTTTAGGAGTTGTAAAAAGGTCCTGAGGCCAGAAAGACTGAGAATTACTGTACACAATCCTCCTTACCCACACCCACCCCAGCCTAAAGATATGATTTCTGCTCCTACCATCTGCCTTTGAACTTTCTATTTCTTATATAATACCTTGCACTGTAATTTTTTCTGTGCTTATTGTGTTCCTCTTGGAGATTAGATTTCGAGCTTTTGAAGTCTCTCAGTGGTACAGGGGAAACTCTCTGGGAGAGTCGTCCCACTACCTGGGGCACTGAATAAGCTGCTGTGTCTTTGGGCTCATCTGTAAAATGAGAGTTGGATTTAATGACATAAATGTTTCCTTCTAGGTTGAAAATGGTATGAATACTGTTCCTCTAAAAATACCTTGGTGGCCCCAGTGTTGTGCTATCCACACTTTGGCAGATATGGTATGTAGTAGAGTTCAGATTCTGGGGTGAGAGAAACGTGGGTTTCAAAAAGATACCATCTGTGTCTTCTTGGAGCTTTCAGACAGCAGAGGAAAAAAGTGAACCACTTACTACTGAGATGGCTGATGAATGCTCTCGGAGAGAAGTAAATGGGTCCTTACACAGGACAGGCATTTAAATCAGGGTGACACGGAAGGAGATTCTTCCTCCTTGTAGGAGATGATCTGAGGCAGTAGAGAGCTTGATGTGTTCTGAGGAACTACATGTAAATAGATTCAGCTTGATTTTTACAGTGAATGTGGAGAAACGGAGTGGTAAGACCTGAGGCTGCACTAGAAAGGTAAGTAGGATAGATTTAAGAATTAAACCTGTTCTACATAGTCCCATGGTATGCAAATTGAACTAATTGGAAGAAGCAGTTGAAAGATGACAAGCACTTTTCCAAGTGACATGTATTCTGTGTGTGGTACTGTTGTTCACAGTTACGCTCTCTCTCCAGGAGGTTTGTACATCCTCACCTGTAGAACTCAGGAGAAGAATGACATCCCCACTCTCTGAGAAGGAAAGGATCTCAGTCCCAAGAAAGCCATGCTCAGTGAAGGCAGGGTGAGGGCATGAGGAGTTCCCTTACCATGCAATGGGCGTTCCAGAAGACGTGGTGAATGGAGTGGGCCAGGGGGCAGCGGTGGGGGAGGGTGGGGAAGCAAGGCATGGCAAGAGATGAGGAAGAAGAATGGAGCAGTATTGGGTTGAGAGACTGGAAGGAACTTATATTTGAACCAAAAAGCAATAGGGATCAGAGCTCTAGGCAGATTGACTGACCTCAAGGATCTAACTGAAACTGGCCCCTACTAGAAACAAGGTAGTTTCCGTGTGTGATGAAGGCTCAGATGCTGGCCCTGGGTGGTGACTCAGGCTGCTAGACTGATGTTTTTTTGCATCCGGGTCAGCAGTCTACAACCTTTGCTCTCAGTTTTGGGTAGAATTCATTTAAATAGGATCCAAATTGTTAGCAGACTGCAAAGTTCATATCTGACTAGAAGAGTACACAGTACTTTTTAAAAAGTGTGCTGAAATGAACTCATTGTCTTCAGAAAGCCATTTACAGGCACTCTGGGTACTTGGAAGTGAGGCTAAGGACTAACTGTTATTGAGGATTTGTTCATCAGAGCAACTTAGTATCAGGGGACTGAGGAGATTGGGATATAGATAGATTAAAAAAGCTGGAAAATAATGAGGACCCAGCCTCCAGTTTTGCTGGAGAACAATACCAGAAGAGAAGCAAGAAGGATTGGACCCATGAGATAGTTTCATCATTATTCATACTTACAGGTGAGGAAACTGAGGCACAAAGAAATTTGCCCAAAGTCACATAGGTTGTAAATAGAGTAGGATTCATCTGTGCATGAAGAGAAGAAGTACCTTTCTGTGAGAGGAACTAGAGCAGAGCGTCAATTGAGTAACACAGGGCTTTCGCCCTCACATTCCCCTGCAGAGCCCTCACGGACTCACATGAACACACTGGAGTATGAGAATATGCAATCCCAGTTTTTCTAGAATAGTACTTCCAGATATTTTGTGTGATTTTCTTTAGAGGAAGCAAAATACAGTGCCCAGGTATAATAGCTAGGTTTAAGGTTGTCTCCTGATGCTCATGGACAGGTGGTAGCTTCGAGGAAGAGTATGAGAAGCAGGCCAGTTAAGCACAGCAGTAAAGAGTTGCATAATCCATGAGTCAAATCTGCCACGGGCTCATGGATGAAGAATGAGAGACTGCCATAGATTTGATATAACTCTGGGACAGCATTGGGACCTGGGTTCTTGTCTGGCTCAGTAGTTTTCAACCCTGGCTCCAGGTTGAGTCAACTGAAGAGCTATAAAAAGTGCCAGTATGTAGGCCCAGACAGTCTAATTAATTTGTTTGCAGTGAGGCCCAAGCATCAGTACTTTTTAAAAACTCTCCCAGTTATTCTAGTGTGCAGCCAAGATTGAAATCCACAACAGCAATAAGACCTTGGCCATGTCACTTTCCTTTTGGGGCT